GGGGATAGCGCTGGAAGGGGAGTGGTTCATGATTGGGGCGCGCGCTGCGCCGGGGTGAGGCACCAGCCTAGACGCCCCCTTAACTCAAGATTGCCCCCCTTTGTGTGCCCCCTGTAGCAGGCTGCCGCGATGCCCCTCAACGTCAGCTTCGCCAACAGGAACTATGACCTCGACTACGACTCGATGCAGCCCTATTTCTTCTGCGACGAGGAAGAGAACTTCTACCACCAGCAGCAGCAGAGCGAGCTGCAGCCGCCGGCGCCCAGCGAGGATATCTGGAAGAAATTCGAGCTGCTGCCCACCCCGCCCCTGTCGCCCAGCCGCCGCTCCGGACTCTGCTCGCCCTCCTACGTCGCCTTCGCGTCCTTCTCCCCCCGGGAGGTGGACGATGGCGGCGGCGGCAGCTTTTCCACCGCCGACCAGTTGGAGATGGTGACCGAGCTGCTGGGAGGCGACATGGTGAACCAGAGCTTCATCTGCGACCCGGACGACGAGACCTTCATCAAAAACATCATCATCCAGGACTGTATGTGGAGCGGCTTCTCGGCCGCCGCCAAGCTGGTCTCGGAGAAGCTGGCCTCCTACCAGGCTGCGCGCAAAGACGGCGGCAGCCGGAGCCCCGCCCGAGGGCAGGGCGCCTGCTCCACCTCCAGCCTGTACCTGCAGGACCTGAGCGCCGCCGCCTCCGAGTGCATCGACCCCTCCGTGGTCTTCCCCTACCCGCTCAACGACAGCAGCTCGCCCAAGCCCTGCGCCTCCCCCGACTCCCCCGCCTTCTCCCCGTCCTCGGACTCTCTGCTCTCCTCCACCGACTCCTCCCCACGGGCCAGCCCCGAGCCCCTGGCACTCCACGAGGAGACACCACCCACCACCAGCAGCGACTCTGGTAAGTGGGAGCCCGGCCTGCCTGACAAAGGGGGGGGGGGCGTCTGGCTATCTTTCTCCTTCTCGTTGGAGGCTCGGGCAGCTGGCCGCTTCAGCTGACGCCGTCCCTTCTCTTTTCTTCTATTCGGGAAAGAAATGGCAGGTCTGGAAGCATCTGGGAGCTCCATCATCTCCAAACACTGGGCTTTCCTGTTCCCTCCCATCCCTTCCCCTAAGACCGCCCTAGTGGCCAGCCCCCTCCTTTCCCTCCCACCCCTCAGGAATTTCATTGGGATTTTAAATCTTCCTGGTTTATCTTGCAACTCAATCCACTCCCTCTTACCTTTCTTAAGCATTTTAATTGCCCTAGGGGGAAGGGGGAAGTGTGAATGAGATTAAGAGGATTGATGTCTTTGAGAGGGAAAGAATTGCCTCCCTCTTCCTTTCTGAGAAGTGTTGGAATTTAATGGACTGCAGATCTAGGAAGAGGGGCTGTGGGCCGGGCAGGCAGGGGTCCCCCTCCCACCTGGGGCTGCGGAGCAGTGAAAGTGCCTCAGGGTGAATGAGCTGAGAATTTGGGATCTTTTCGGCCTCTTTTTTGAACATTTAAAAGCAGCTCCTTTCCCCAAATTGAACTTTCTTCCTTCCCCCATCCCCTAGGGCTTTTGGCAAAGCTGCAAGATTTTTTTTTCTTCTTTTCGCACTTCCAGTAAAATAGGGAGTTGCTAAATTCATAGCAAGCGATTTGCAGCTCTCCTTTGCACCATGGGTTCTTGGTAAAGTCCCTTAAAAATCGGAGGTGCTTGGGAATGTGCTTTGCTCTGGGTGTGTCCAAAGCCTCATTAAGTCTTAGGTAAGAATTGGCACCCACGTGGGATCCTGGTAAATGGTGATTTTCTTACCTGTGCCACAAACCCAGCTGTCATTCTGCCTTGCTGGGAGGAAGAGCAGGGATGATTGGCTAGTTTGTTCTCCGGGGATAACTCTGGTCCTTATATTTCCATCGCGTTCATTGAACGGAGCCATTGGTTAAGGAAGGCAGTGTTGTCGCTAACCTGGTGATTGCTATTTCCTTTCTGACAGAGGAAGAACAAGAGGATGAGGAAGAAATTGATGTTGTTTCTGTGGAGAAGAGGCAGCCCTCCGCCAAAAGGTCAGAATCCGGTTCCCCCTCTTCGGGAAGTCACAGCAAACCGCCTCACAGCCCGCTGGTCCTTAAGAGATGCCACGTGTCCACGCATCAGCACAATTACGCGGCGCCCCCCGTCACCAGGAAGGACTATCCCCCCGCCAAGAGGGCTAAGTTGGACAGTGGCCGCGTCCTGAAACAGATCAGCAACAACCGCAGATGTGCCAGCCCCAGGTCCTCGGACACGGAGGAGAACGACAAGAGGCGGACACACAACGTCCTGGAGCGCCAGCGCAGGAATGAGCTGAAACGCAGCTTCTTTGCCCTGCGCGACCAGATCCCCGAGTTGGAAAACAACGAAAAGGCCCCCAAGGTCGTTATCCTTAAGAAAGCCACCGCCTACATCCTGGCCATCCAAGGGGAGGAGCACAAGCTCCTTTCGGAAAAGGACTTCTTGCGGAAACGACGGGAACAGTTGAAACACAAACTCGAACAGCTACGGAACTCTTGTGCATAAAACTCGACCTAGGGGCGGGAGGAACTGGACTCCCTCGTGGCTTCTCCCCTGTGACTGAGGGAAAGTGCGGGAGAAGGTTCCTGCTGGCCTCGCCGCAGAGTTCAGTAGACACGAACTTGTTGCAACTGCATGGTCAAGTGCAAACCGCACAACCGTGGCTGGGTCTTCAGACCGACAGATTCAGCCATCATGTAAACTGCCTCAAATGAACTTTGGGCATAAAATAACGTTTTTTATGCTTGCCTTTTTTGTTTCCTTTAACAAATTTGTATTTAAAATAATTTTTTTTTAATCTCAATTGGGTTTACCCAATTTTGCTGTGTAAATACAAGCAGTGAATGTAAATAGCTTTAATAAGAAGTTTATAGCAATTATACAAAATCTGTTATAAATACATAATTTTTTTTATTTAAATACATGTTTCTTTTTAAAGTTGATTTTTTTTTTATTGTTTTTAGAAAAAATAAAACGCCTGGCAAATATAATTGAGCCAGATCTTAAAGTTTGTGAGTGTTTTGTTTCTTCCTTCTCTTGTTCATCAATGACCACTGAACAGAGTTTGGCCCTTCAGGGAGAGAGCTTACAAAGATGGGAAAAGACATTATTCAGGAAAGGACAAGGGCTTTGTTAAATGGGTCTGGGGCCTTAAGGCAGTGGTTCTCAACCTTCCTAATGCCGCAACCCTTTAATACAGTTCCTCATGTTGTGGTGACCCCCAATTTCATTGTTACAAATTGAACATAATGAAAGCATAGTGATTAATCACAAAAACAATATCCTATCTAATAATAGACAAACATGGTAATTGACCATACCTTCGCTATGCCTCCCATTGGCTAATCAGTGAGATATGCAAATTAACTGCCAACAAAGATGGCGGTTAATTTGCATACATAGGCACAAAGCAAGGAAGCGAAGACTGAAGATAGCTCCGGCCAGAGCAGCGAAGGCTTGAAGGCTTGAAGGTGGCTCTGGCTGGGGCAAAGGCCTGGGTCCCGGTGCCGGAGGAAAACCGGTGCTGGCAGCCAGGGGGAGGGAAGGCCTATTGCACGAATCTTTTCATGCAACAGGCCTCAAGTGTAATTATATATGTGTTTTCCGATGGTCTTAGGTGACCCCTGTGAAAGGGTCGTTTGACCCCCAAAGGGGTCTCGACCCACAGGTTGAGAACCGCTGCCTTAAGGTCTTTAACTTATCAGGGTTATGAGATGCTTCCTGAGATGGGTGATAAGGGCCAGAGTTGAAACTTGAAAGAATGAAAGGGCAGTAAGCTGGTGAGCCAGTGATCAGGTTAGGGGCCAAGGGGTGCTAGAGAGATGAAAGATAACAGTAAGTAGACAAGGGGTGAGGTAAGGACTGGGGGTTGGGAGGAAGATCAGGAAGAAACCCTATTAACTCTGATTAACCCATGCCATTCCCCTGTTCCATTCAAACCCAGTGGAAGGGGGAAGAGGATAGAAACCAAATTTTGCTGCTTGCCTACTACGACCAGGTGCCAGGCCCTCTGCATGGGTTATCTCAAGCCCCAGAGGAGCTCTGGGAGGCATGTTCTTAACCTTCATTTTACAAGCATGGAAATAACAGAAGCTCAGGGAGGCTAAGTAACTTCTCTGTGGCCACACAGGCAAAAAAAAAGGCAGCATCCCAGTCCCTTTCAACACTTCACTGGCGCCTTAGCTCATCCTAAAGTGCTGAGATCAAAAATGCTTGTAGCCCTGGCCGGTTTGGCTCAGTCCTCAGGATCGACCTGCGGACTGAAGGGTTCCAGGTTCAATTCCGGTCAAGAGCACATGCCCGGTTGTGGGCTCAATCCCCAGAGGGGGGCATGCAGGAGGCAGCCCATCAATGATTCTCTCTCATCATTGATGTTTCTATTTCCCTTTCGCTTTCTCTCTCAAATCAATAAAAATAAATAAATAAATCCTTCTAAAAAAAAATGCTTGTGGTTGGCAGCCAGGTGGACTGTTTAGTAATAACGAAACTTTACTACTTGTGTGCCAGGCATTCTACTAAGCATTTTCCTCATACAACTCCACAGCAACCCTGTGAAGGAGGTACTGCTGATTTCTCTATGAGAAGGGGAAAGTGAGGCACGGGAAGACCACCCCCCCGCCCCCATCTGTGTTGCAAAGTTCCACCAATAATGAAGAGTAGAGCTGCCAGGATTCAAACCCAGACGGTCCACTCAAACTCTCCAAGAGGCCAGAAGGAATACATGGGCCACACGTGAGAACAGGAGTCACCAATCGAATGGATTCTGTCTTCAATTTCAACATGCAGACCCTGTCAGACATCAGTTTTCCATTTTTGTTTGTTTGTTTTATCTTGCTGTCCCTTGTTGAATTTTCCCTTCAGCATGGAGAAGTCCAGAACTCACAGTCCCTCCTAACGTAGGCATTTGTTAAGTGAGATTCACCAGTTGCCTCGGGGAAGCTGCCAGTGTAGCATTGCTACTGTTCAGGTCATAAAATAAAATATAATTACTCTTTGTCGTGTGAGTCATTATTTTGGAAACGATAGACTCCCAACCTCTTTCACACATGGATAATCATGACACATGCTCATCACTGGAACATGAAAAGACACTTCTGACTGTAGATATTATTAATTATAAGCCTTTGAATACCCACAGCCCAAACCAGAAACTTGAATGTTGGCCACATACCAGTAGGTAAATGGGAGCTACTATCGCCGTTCTAATTATCTCATTGTCTTGGCCTCAGAGGAATCTTCAGATTCCTGTCCTCTTTGGGATTTTAATCCACCACCACCCATTAATCAATAGCTAATTACCGTCTTTGGCTCTGACCCCTACAATAATTTAATCCAGCCCTTAATGTCTTTTTCTTGATCTTTTATTTCAGGTTCTCACTGCTGCAAGCTGTCACACCCTGTGTCCTCAATTCAAAGGGAGATAGAATCCACAGAAGCTGAGTAGTTCGAAGGTCACAATACGGTGGGGGGCGACCTTACATGGTTCACTCTGCCCCTTTGTGGCTGGACAGCGGCCCTGGAGTGACTCACTTGGGCACCCAGGTGAGTTGAGGGAGAAGGTGTGAGTATGAATCACTAAATCCAGGGAAGCCCAGGGACCAGCAGAGATTGCTCCTCAGTAGGAAAACACTCTCCCTTCTAAAGGGCCTGGAAACCAGTTCAGGGATGCAGAGCTTGCTGCGGGGGCAGGAGGGGAGCTATGGCTCACATCCTAGGGTTAGGAAGTCGGAACGGTCCTTATGGCTGATCTTGACCCTGACACAAACTGGCTTATCTAGAGAGTTCCCAAGAGCCTATGCCATTGTGGGATCTATTTTATAGATTAAACAAATGATCAAGAATTGGTGATGGAAGGGAGGAGCTTGCAATGTGGTTGGAATACACCAGAAGGAATAAGCTAATGCTGACTATGGCTTTTACCCAGGACACTGTGCAGCAATTAATGGCCATCCCATGGGATTCCCAGCGTGGTTTTGTTTAGGGATGAAATGTGTAAAGAGGAAGGAAGTGGGTTTTTTGTTGTTGTTGTTGTTGTTAATCCTCACCCAAGGATATTTTCCCATTGATTTTTAGAGAGTGGAAGGGAGAAGTAGAGAGGGAGAGGGAGAGGGAGAGGGAGAGAAACATGGATGTGAGAGAGAGACACATCAGTTGGTTGCTTCCCTTCACTCACCTTGACCAGGGCCAAGGATCGAGTCTGCAACCCAGGTACATGCCCTTGACAGAAATCAAACCCAGGACTCTTCAGTCCGCAGGCCAATGCTCTATCTACTGAGCCAAACCAGTTAGAACAGAAGTGTTATTTTATGCTTCCATTTGGAAGCAATGAAGGAGATCCAGATTAAAAAAAATAATCAAATTTTTAAATGAACAAAGTTTCCACAATTCGGGTCTAATGCTTTGGCCTCACAGCTGGGATATGTAAGTAGAGTTACACATCACTGCTGGTCTTTAAGACAAATTGGCACAGAGCTTGGGAAAGAGGACAAAAAAACGTTGTGTTTGGGGGTTTTCTGTGGTTTGTTTGCAATAGCCGATGAGTGGCTCAGTCCAGGATAATTTTTTAGTGTACCCACTAAGGACTCTCGAAGCATTTCTTCCCAACAATAAATAACCCTCAGGCTAGAAAATGCTGACGGGTGTCCCCCAACGCTATCTACAAACGCACGGGTAGCTTTACAAAAGGCTCCCCCTTTAAGGTTATGGACCATGACAGGCCTATTTCAAAGGAAAAGGGTAGACACAGGCTCACAGAAGGAGAACAGGGAGCCATTGAAAAAAATAAAACTAAAAAGACTACCACCCACCACGAAAGCTGAGGCAGGAATCTTTCTCTATTCTAGACCCTTCGGGGGGAGAATTCAAGCTAGTTCCAAATTTAGAGGCAATATCCAAGAATGTTTTGCTTTCCCAAACTGATTTGAGGTGACTCTAAATGGCTCTGCGTTGATTTCACATTTTGTTTTTAATTGTATTTCTTTCAATATTAGCCTACACTAATCTCTTTAGGAAGACACTGTTGAAGGGAATGAGTGCTAATAGGATGTAGATCTTCTAAGGTTAGAAGGAATGTTCTTTGTCTCTAAACAATGCCTGAGAGCTCAGCCACCATCCCCAACACTTTCTACCCATTGTCACCCCCTCAGCCCCTCCAGGGATGAAACACTGGTGCGGTCAGGGGTCTCCAGGGGTGGGGAAGGGGAGAGCTGGGGGCGAGACAATTAGCCTTTATTACAGCCCAGCAGGAGAGTAATTGTTGAATACAGCAGTACTGAAGTTTAGACAAGTTCAATAGCTCCCCTAAAGTCACACAGGGACCCACAATCAAAGCAACAATGATAGTAGTTAATATTTACCATGTGCTAAACACTTTACATGCATTGTCTTATTTCATTCCCAAAGCAACTCTTAGGAGGTAAATGCTATTTCTAATCCCACGGTACACAGAACGAGATTGAAATTTGGAGAGATTAAGTAATCCGCCTGCCTTCACAGAGCTGGCAACATGGTGAGGAATGATTACGTGTTCATTCATAAATAGTTATGGAACACCTACTGTGTGCCCACACTGTGCTGGGTGTGGGGAGAAATTGTTATGATCAAGGTTGTAGATAAGGTCCTAGCCTGTGGACTGTGGGAGAACAGAGAAGGCCAGTGCTTAAACTCTGTTATTTTACAAATACTTCGAATGTTTCCTATGTGGCAGGAGAGTTGCAGCTCTGAGAACTGCTGAAGACCTCCTCCAACCTCCCCCCGCCACCCTCACCACCCCAAAAATGAATCAAGGTCAGAGCTCAGGAAATGCTGGTAGAGGAACAAAGGAAAAGTCCTCATCAGAGGGATGGAGGGAAGCTAGGAGAACGTGGTGACCCAAGGGAGGAAGCCCTTCTATCAGAAGTGCTCCAGGAAGTGTGGAGAGAGATGCACTGGACGAAGTGACAGAGCAGCATCCTCTTGGCCACGCCTCCTCCCCAGTGAGATGGCAACCCCCTAGGCCAGGACGCCCCCTCT